CTTACAAAACAGACTTGTCATGTCCAACAATCAGTCTTCAGGTCAAGCCCGGGAGAGCCGGGGTAGAACAGAGGTTGAACTAAACATAAGTGTTTTTACAAGATAAGAGATTGTTTGATTGGATTACTAATTGATTCTGAACTGAATGAAAGTCGAATTTAGCCGCCATAAAGAGAAAGGAAGTGGGAGGAGCAATAAAGAAGCAAAAAAGAATCTAAAAAATGAAAGGCATGGCAATTGGTTGATAAATAATCTAAGGGAATGTTTAGGAAGGTGGAAAAAATTGACACATAAGCAGAACTATGTGTCAAGAGGGGGGAAGAGGCTAATTGTATTTGATAATATACGAAGGAGAGGACAAAATACTTTTAAAAAAAAACATTTTTTAGATAGTCTAAAAAGAGAATGCAGTCAGAAATTGTTAGATTAATCTGAACATGTGTGAAGATAGTTTATTAACCACACCCGTATGTCAGAGGTTTTGTGCCCCACAGGTGAACTAAAGGAGAAGGTGACCCACTATCTAACCAGGTGACTGGTGAGCATCCAGTCACTAGAAGGAAAACTGGAAGCAGGCCTGTTGGGAAGGGCCCTATCAGGTTATGTTGGTAACCACCTTGGCCATTAGAATAGCAGAGAGAGGAACCTGGGTCCATGTTACCCACTGCAAGAAGGTAAGACCACATACAAGCACCGCTTAGCACACGCAGAGTTGACGAGCGGAACTGCGCCACAGGGTGCGGGGGTCATCTCTGTCAACGAAGATCTCCTACCCAGACCTATCATCACTGTAGTGTGTTCCTAGGGTGTGAGTATGGGGTGGTACCGAGCAGAAGGACTCAAGACAGGAGAGGGTTGTTTTTTTTTTTGAGAATATGGGTGACCCTGAGCTGCATCATAGTCTCGGCAATAGTTGTGGTAGGTCAAAATCCACCACCACCTCACACCAATTACGCTATGGCCTTACCATTATTAAGAAATAAAGGGAAAGTGACCCGACATACTGACCATCAAGGGCGAGTGATCTACAAAATAGGAGTCAGAGAAGGGTGGGGAGTAAGATTCAAAATTATGATTAGGGATCTTATCAGAGCGGATAAGCAAGCAACATGGGATTATAAGATCCCGTTGTATTTATGTTCAGCCCCCTCAGCGGATTGTTCCTGGGCTCAAGTATTTAGACATACTGGGGGAAGGAGATATGAGACGGGGGGGCTGGACGTCCAGATGGAGGATAAGAAGGTATAACGACATCCCCACGGAGATGGTAGTAACGATAGTAAAGGTCGCTAAAGAGGACATGAAAAGAACTTACTGGGCTTGCGCGGACGTATACGGACGGGATACTTGTCTAAGATTATATTTGATGGAGTCAAAAGATATAGAGGGAGCAGGTACTGGCATTAATCCATTAATGACAATAGACCGAGTAAATCAGTCAAGGGATGACGGAGTAAATTTGACTAACCCGTCCACTATGAAAGATTTTCTCCTCCAGGAATGGAACAATGGGGAAGTGGAGGGGGTCCCTGATGAGAATCTCTGGTTAAAGTGGATGAAATACACCGCTAGGGCTTTGGGGGAGACAAATTGTTATGCATGCTCCATTGGGTGACCAGCAATGTTGACCGCCCCAATGCCAAAGGCAATGTTTCCCTGTGTATTAGACCTGGGGTCCAATCAAAAAGAGCCAAATTGCACAGGGATTGGGGCTGGCAAAATTGACATACTCGGCCAGCCCACCTAGATTCACTTTAACTCCTGGCGAATACCAGTGTTACATACATAGAAATGGCACCCGTAACTTGGGTGATTTTGATGGCTGTAAGGAGATAATTAATGTGACTGATTTAGATAAGGAAGGAAGGGAAAAAAGATTAGGAACCTAACCATCCCTTTGACTGATGTGTGGTGGGCATGCACTAAACAGGGAGCATTCGGCAGACATTACCAGAGGGATGGGTGGGTACTTGTGTACCAGTATTGTTGGTCCAACCTGTAAGAATTGGTCATCAAAGACCAGTGACAGGAAGAATAATTAGGAGAAAAATAAATAAGTCAGGAATGAAATAGCCCAATTTGGATAGATGGTATAGGCATCCCCAGGGGTGTTCTAGACGAATACAAAGCTATAAATCAAATATGGGAGAGTTTTACTACAACATTTTTCTGGTGGGGGACAAACAAAAATATGGATTGGATAAATTATATCTATTACAACCAACAGCGATTTATTGACAAGACTAGAGATGCAGTAAGGGGATCTCTGAGCGATTATCCGCCATCCCGCTTGTAACTTAGTAGAGGTTGGTTCTAGATCAGGCAGAAAGGGCCGGTGTCTATAGAAAGATAAGCCATTGTTGCATATTCATCCCTAACAACACCACACTGGATGGGACAGTCACCAGAGCTCTTACATAATTAACTGCACTGAGTGAAGGATGAACTGAACTCAGAAGTTAGTACATTGTGGATAGGGTGGTTTGATGAAATATTTGGTAAATGGAAAACCCTAGCAGCCACCATCTTAGGAGCGATCAGTGTTTGTATGGGTATTCTTGTATTATGTGGTTGTTGTCTTGTTCCCTGTGTCCGAGGATTAATGAGTCAGGCGTTGGTGAAATGCAGTATCTAAACAATGATGAGAGATGGACTGACTCCGGACTCTGACCAGGGGAATGTGAAAAACAATCCTCCAGGCTTGGTGGATGACGAAGATTTGGACCCTGAAAGACCGCAATTGGATGAAATGTTTATTAGTTCTGATGTGATCTCTGAGATTAATCATGCTTGTAAAATACATTTATCCTGAATGTGGGAATATTTAGTCAAAGGGGTGGATTGTTAGATTAATTTGGATTTTAAGAATAATGACTAAAGAATTACACCCCAAACACAGTATAAATGTTAGAATTATCATGTGTCAACCCACTAACAGAAGGGCGTTACTAACCATTCAAGGGGGGAGGCGGGAACTGTTTAAGAAAGGTGGGAGGAGCATAGTGTTTTTGTTTGTCAAGAAGTATAAAGAAAGGAGATTTGTGTTTTGGCCTCAGAGCTCTCACCATGAATAAAAATACAGATAAGACTTGTGAGTTGTGGACCTTGAATCATTGATGATTAAAACCAGAGCCTTACAACCTCTGGTAATGATTCAAGCTTAGGGTGAATTAGAGAAAATAATTCACGTGACATTGTCCCACTCCTCTTTGCAGATCTTCTCCAAGTCATTAAGGTTTCGAGCCTGACGTTTGGCAACTCGAACCATCAGCTCCCTCCACAGATTATCTATGGGATTAAGGTCTGGAGACTGGCTAGGCCACTCCAGGACCTTAATGTGCGTCTTCTTGAGACACTCCTTTGTTGCCTTGGCCGTGTGTTTTGGTTCATTGTCAGGCTGGAATACCCATCCACGACCCATTTTCAATGCCCTGGCTGAGGGAATGAGGTTCTCACCCAAGATTTGACGGTACATGACCCCATCCATCGTCCCTTTGATGCGGTGAAGTTGTCCTGTCCCTTTAGCAGAAAAACACCCTCAAAGCATAATGTTTCCACCTTTATGTTTGACGGTGGGGATGGTGTTCTTGGTGTCATAGGCAGCATTCCTCCTCCTCCAAACACGGCGAGTTGAGTTGATGCCAAAGAGCTCGATTTTGGTCTCATCTGACCACAACACTTTCACCCAGTTCTCCTCTGAATCATTCAGATGTTCATTGGCAAACTTCAGACGGTCCTGTATATGTGCTTTCTTGAGCAGGGAGACCTTGCGGGCGCTGCAGGATTTCAGTCCTTCACGGCATAGTGTGTTACCAATTGTTTTCTTGGTGACGATGGTCCCAGCTGCCTTGAGATCATTGACAAGATCCTCCCATGTAGTTCTGGGCTGATTCCTCACTGTTCTCATGATCATTGCAACTCCACGAGGTGAGATCTTGCATGGAGCCCCAGGCTGAGGGAGATTGACAGTTATTTTGTGTTTCTTCCATTTGCGAATAATCGCACCAACTGTTGTCACCTTCTCACCAAGCTGCTTGGCGATGGTCTTGTAACCCATTACAGCCTTGTGTAGGTCTACAATCTTGTCCCTAACATCCTTGGAGAGCTCTTTGGTCTTGGCCATGGTGGAGAGTTTGGAATCTGATTGATTGATTGCTTCTGTGGACAGGTGTCTTTTATACAGGTAACAAGCTGAGATTAGGAGCACTCCCTTTAAGAGTGTGCTCCTAATCTCAGCTCGTTATAATAATAATAATATGCCATTTAGCAGACGCTTTTATCCAAAGCGACTTACAGTCGTGCGTGCATACATTATTATTATTTTTTTGTGTATGGGTGGTCCCGGGGATCGAACCCACTACCTTGGCGTTACAAGCGCCGTGCTCTACCAGCTGAGCTACAGAGGACCACCTGTATAAAAGACACCTAGGAGCCAGAAATCTTTCTGATTGAGAGGGGGTCAAATACTTATTTCCCTCATTAAAATGCAAATCAATTTATAACATTTTTGAAATGCATTTTTCTGGATTTTTTTGTTGTTATTCTGTCTCTCACTGTTCAAATAAACCTACCATTAAAACTATAGACTGATCATTTCTTTGTCAGTGGGCAAATTTACAAAATCAGCAGGGGATCAAATTATTTTTTCCCTCACTGTAGCAGTATCTGTGAACTAGACCTACTGGTGTCTGTGAACAAATGAGATGATAAAAAGTGATAATAAGACACATTTGTGGTCTCCATGTGGTTTGATTGACATTTAAGATTGCCAGTCAATCTTATGGGACACATTATACCTCTCGTGCGACAAAAATGTATTAGGCCAAAGCCTATTGGTATGGGCTTTAGGAATGTTAAATCTTGGCTAACTACAAAGAACAATTTACAACAATTCTGTAGAAATTCTGTTTAAAACTCAGGCTATAAATCACATAGAGTGCGGTATTTGATTCACCCAGCACTTGTTAGTCTCATTTTCAGTGCGAGCTGATCCGTCCGTGTTATGTGTAGCACTTGGAGCATGCAGCGGTGAGTACACTGTTGAGCTCTGGCTGTAGCTGTGGCATGCCTCTGGCACAGCCAATGACAGATAGACATGATATACGATACTCACTTCACTGTGCGTATGTGCCTCGTAGTATGAGGGGGTATCAGTCTGAATATAACGTCCAGGCCTCGGTTTTATCCTAGCAGCGTAGCAGTGGTGACTGAAAGATACAAAAGTAAACAAAGTCTCACGTCGATATTAATGCCCTTTGAGTATTACATTTTTACTGGCTAGTGCTAGTTGATGATGTTTCTCCCTGTCCGATCTCTTACAAGTCCACAGTGGAAATCTACTGGCCTCATGGGAATTTCAATAGACTTCAACCAAAATTCAAACTTCAACCACATAAACTAGGTACAGTATGCGTACAGACGATACTTTTCATTGACAGTTTATAGTCATTGTAAAAATGATCAGACTTAAAGCTGCTTCAGCTCTGACCATGTGACCTCAGACATGTTATTTTACCATTTCACTGGTCAACATTTAGATAGAGTATGTTTTTAATAAATCCTCATTACTATCCTAAATTAAGGGCACCAGCACATGTCAATACTCAAGCCAAATGTTTCGTGCCTCGTCAGAATGTAGACCTCCTCCATATTCCCTGAACTCACAGAGTTCCATAGAAATATTTGTATTACTTCTGGATACTGTTGACATTGAGAGTAAATCAGATGGACAAAGCAGTAAAGTGTGATTGAAGCTTTAAGGAGTTTGGCCGTTTACCTACCAGAGGAGCAGAAGACCTGGAGTACCCAAAGGCAGGCTGCCGTCCTCCTGGTATGTTTTATATTCTGTTTCAGCAGAGTGAGTGTCAGCAGCACAGCCTCCGCCTTCTCTGGCTTCATCCCAATACGACGGACTGATCGAGACACACAAAACACCACTGACACTGTTTGCACCGGTGCAAATGTTCACATAGTTATTTTTCAGAGAAAATTCTATGAGGTAGAAAAAGAGATCAAGCAAATTAAGATAAATATTTGATCAGTGGAATTAAAACAGTTTGTGTATGTGTTTTGAATATTTCATCCGCCACTTAAAATAACAAGAAAACACTTCTCAGTGAGAATTACCATAATGAAATGAACACATTAATAAATGCTGCTTGGTAGCATGAGGGCAAATTTTGCACTGAATGATATGCAATGCCAATGCTCATAAATTGTCAATTTGCTTGAATGATTTCTTGGTGCTTTTACACATGTGAATTGCCTGTCGGTCCGAGGAGTGGAATAGATTGCTTAACCAGGCACAGCAATCCTAGTTTTTGAACAAATATCACAGCAATTAGTGTGGAAAAAGCTTCAATGGCTTTATTGGATAATGCCTTGTGCATAAATATTCAGAGCTGGAATTTATGATCGGAGGACACCCATTAAATATAAAGTGTCCCGTCAAAGGCATTCATTAGATGACTGTACTGTATGTTTTGGAGAGCAGACAGAACAGGCTCATCAGGCCTTGAAGTAAGGAGCAAAGCTTTCCTTTCATTGTAATGCAGATGAGACCAATAAATACAATATGTGCTGTTTAGCAATAACATAATGAAAGCAATAAAATAAAGTGATTTGGGATCTAATGCAAATAGTAATGCAAGCTCATAAATCAATTTTATCGCACAGCACCATATCAAATCGACTGTTGCTTCTATGTGACCTTGCTCTCAAGTGGAAACACAAATGTATTTCCCAAAAGCCAGCTGGGGACCTTTGACCCGGATGTCTAATTTTGCTGATGAATTAGGTGGAAAGATCACTTAGGTCACAACAACCCAGCGCTGAAATTTGACCGTTGCTTCTCATTCTTGTCGAAATAGCTTGAGACCAAAATTATATTTTAGAGACCAGCTTATGCTGCTGATACCAGTTACCATAAATGCTTAATAGTGTGGGTTAGAATAAACATTTCAATGAATATGAATGGAGAAAGCTTATCCCACAGCATCCCCCCCTCACTCCCCAACAACAACAAAAAATGCCTTTTGTAAACTAACACTTACACTCACACTTGACTTTTTCCTACTAGCACTGACTTTGCTGATAGCTATACTTTATTGAGGAAACATTATCATACTATGACTGAGATATGTGGTTGTCTCACCTAGCTATCTTAAGATGAATGCACTAACTCGCTGTAAGTCGCTCTGGATAAGAGCGTCTGCTAAATAACTAAAATGTAATGCAAAATGTATATTCCTACTAGTGGCCACATGTCACTAATGAAGATATGAGGGTATGCATCCATGTCAGGGAAGCTTTGTCACATAATGGATAACATGGTTTGTTAGTCAGATGGACCTGTTGGCCTGGCCTTTCTATTTAAAGCTGATACCTCTGCCAATGAGGAGAACACCATGAGGTCTCCATTATTTGTCGTGTTGACATTCTAAGATGGAAGCTAAGAAAATCAAGCTACCCACAGTTTTGAAAGGTTAGGATCTACGAACCATTTGACAACCTCTCACTACAACATATAATTGAGACAAATAGCCATTTACTGTACTTATATAACAACAGCTAAATAATTACCCCACTTACGATACCTCTATTTTTGTAACATTTCACGTTCTTGTAAACTATATTTTCATTCCGATCATTCAGTCGGAGCCTCACCTCTGTGTCCGACCTTGGCCAGGAGGTACAGCACGGGGAGGAGGATAGTGAAGTTGGGGGAGAAAGTCCTGACTGTGGTCATCAGGGAGCTCAGGAGGGCCTCGCTGCCACCCTTCAAGATCATGTAGGTGATCCGTCTGTCTGTGCCTGGAACACACACACACACACACACACACACACACACACACACACACACACACACACACACACACACACACACACACACACACTGACTAAAGGCAACTAAACCAAAGAAGGGTAATTGACTGTAGATCTCAAAGGAGAGTAGAGGACTGTAGCATTATATATCTGCATGGAATGACTATGAATCTGTACTATGAATCGGAATCAACAACGAAGACTCACCAGCTGAAAGCAGCTCATCCAGCACGTTGAGGATATTGAGGGCGCTCTCAATGTCCCCTGCATTCTGTGGGGAGAAAAGATCTTGACCCACTACTACTGTTTACTTGACCCACTACTACTGTCATCTCGCTGAGTCTACCTTTTAACCTAACCTTACTTATGACCTGACCCATCCGCTTATGCATTACTGCCCCTCAGTGGCAAGAAGTGACATCCTCAAAAACACAACAATTATACAACACATTAATGTCTCCTAGCCTCCCACACATAGGCTACTTTGTGTCCCTAACACTAAAACTGAAACTAAATAATATAAAAACTAAATAGAAATGTTTTCATAAAACTTCAACTAAATAAAAACTAGTAAAGTGGATCTGAAAACTAACTGAAACTAAACTTCAAATAAAGATCTTAAAACTAATCTAAATAAAAATGAATATAAAAACACAAAACTATACTAAACTTGGTGCAGACAAACGGACCACACAGAAACTGGAAAAACCAAAGAACCATAAGGAAGGCATTGGGTGCAAGGTTATTATAGTTTGGTGTTTTATATTCGTTTTTATTTCTATTAGTTTTAAGATTTTTCTTTGAAATTCAGTTTAGTTTCAGTTAGTTTTCAGATCCACTTTAACTAAATAAAAACGAGTAAATTTTTATAAAAACATTTCAATTTCGTTTTTATATTATTTAGTTTCAGTTTTAGTGTCAGGGACAGAAAGAATACACTTCTGTTTCCAAAAGGAATTATAGCAATTACACTAGCTGTCCAAGTAATACTAGAGTGATCTATGCCCTGTGCTTATCTGTCGAACAGTAACTGTTCAGCAAGTGAAAGTTGTAAACATGTTTCCAGATGCTGGGTGTTGAGAGAATACTTATCACCTTTTATCTTCCTCTTTCAGCTCTACGTAGGAAGTGCCTGTTGCTAGCCTAGCGTCCCAGTCCCGTCCGTCAGCAGCACCGCTGCCCACTTTTATTTGGAGTATTCCATTTTAGTCTGCCTTATCAGGGAACCCTAATAAACAGAGACACAGTCACACAGCACAGGCACAGCCACACATACAGTCCCAGTCCCAGACCCTGGGCGTTCCTACCTGCAGCGTAGACAGGAGAACCTCTAGTCCGCTGGAGCTGCCAGGGGCTGCCATGCTGGGCTGTACTCGCTCTGGAGGCACACAGAGGTAAACAGAAAGGAAGATCAGACTAGAGCCAAGCCCACCTTAACCACACACACAGCCATCAAGCCATGCCAAGGAGACCACCAGCAGCAGCATCGACACAGTCTTCCTGTGGCTTTACTTAACAAGGAAACCCAGTGGAGCTGTGAGAGAGGGGCGTTCAGCTGTAGGCTGAAACTCTATCTCCACGGATAAATCCCTGTATTCCATTTGTTGCTGGACGTTGAGATGAGTTTCCTATAAAAAGGGCGTGACAAGACTCAGGGATAAAACAGAGCCCCTCACTCCACAGTCCGCCCATTTTTATTTAGGGAAACACACAGGTGCTAGAGAGAGGAGTGGGTGGGTGTGTGTATTATGTTTTGGTGGAGGGGTGTGTGTGGGGGGGGGGGCAGGAAGTGGACATTTGGACTGGCAAATGGGAAACAAAACAATACACGAGTGTCATCATCTATCTTTGTTGTTAGTGTTACGTCAGATGAAAAACTTTTAGGCTGTAGGTTAGTAACTATAGAAGTCAACATGAATGACACAATAAGAACATGAAAGACAATACAACTACCCTCTCACTTTTAACCTATGGTAAAAGCTTCTGTGTTGTTAACCATTTTGTAACACTTACAGTATGAATTATATGTCACACACATCCAGTGGTAACAAATATTTAAGAAACAGCACACACTGAGGATTCATAAGAAACACATTCGGTATTTGACTGCTTACAATGCCGCCTTCTTGGCCAGAATGATGTAAATGATCTATTCACACTTACAGGGGCTAAATGTCTCACATGCATAATGGCGTTTCAAATGTCTCACATGCAGTATTATTTAAAATGTTTCACATGCATAGTGTCATTGGCATAGGGATGTTTGTGTTTGGGAAATATTGCATAGTGTGATTGGCGTCATGGGGAAAGAGTGGCGTAGCGAATGGGTCAGTGCTATCTGGGATTCTTGGGACGTCCCTACCATAACGATAACCCTGACCTTAACCATAACCATAACCCTTCCTAACCCTAGCCTTATATCAACCATTTTAAATGTAAACTTCAATGGGATAGGGACCAGTGGAGGCTCCTCAGAGGAGGACCATCCTACTCAGTGAATTTCATAAAAATAGTGAAACACTTAAAAAGTTACCCTTTTTAGATAAAATTATACTTAATATATTCACGTCACCAAATAATTGCTTAAAACACACTGTTTTGCAATGAAGGTCTACAGTAGCCTCAACAGCACTCTGTAGGGTAGCACCATGGTGTAGCCGGAGGACAGCTAGTTTCCGTCCTCCTCTGGGTACATTGACTTCAATACAAAACCTAGGAGGCTTGTGGCTCTCACCCCCTTCCATAGACTTACACAGTAATTATGACAACTTCCATAGGATGTCCTCCAACCTATCAGAGCTCTTGCAGCATGAATTGACATGTTGTCCTCCCAATCAAAGGATCAGAGAATGAATCTAGTACTGAAAGCATAAGCTACAGCTAGCTAGCACTGCAGTGCATAAAATGTGGTGAGTAGTTGACTCAAAGAGAGAGAAAGACAATAATTGAATAGTTTTGAACAAATTTAATTTCTTCAAAAATGAAGGACAAGCAAGAGAGAATGAGAGAGAGAGCGAGAGCTAGCTACATTTCATTTTTTTTTTTTTACTTTCACTTACTTAGCTAGCGAATGCAGCTAGCTAGTTTAGCCTACTCAGACACCTGGCTCAAACAGAGAGGGATGCTATGTTACCTACATTTACATTTACATTTTCGTCATTTAGCAGACGCTCTTATCCAGAGCGACTTACAAATTGGTGCATTCACCTTATGATAGCCAGTGGGACAACCACTTTACAATATTATTATTATTATTATTATTATTATTATTATTATTATTTTGGGGGGGGGGGGGTGGGGTAAGGGGGGGTAGAAGGATTACTTTATCCTATCCCAGGTATTCCTACCTAGCTGGCTATGGCTATCCAACACTGGCACTCTTCCAAGTCAAGGTACGCTTTTGGTTTTATTAATTTATTGCCACTGGGACCTGCCGGTGTAACTGCTAAACTGCTTGTTAACACTTTACTGCATGATTGTAGCGGGTATACTAACGCATTAGTTCTAGTAGCTATGCTGACTTGACGTTAGCTAATATGGTGACAATGATGTAGGCTGTGTGTAGCGGTTAGCGGTTATAATAAGGTTTGGCTTGGAAAGGCTTTTCGCCTGGTTACATACAGCTGATGTGTTGTGCACTGAAGTCCACAAGCAAAGGGAAAAGAGGAGAGGATGAGAGCGTGTAGATGCGAGAAGGAATTATCTAACGATCAAAGGTATCATGCTGTTTGTATGTGGCTGCTATGAAAGTGAACTGTGTTTTCGTGTGATCAGGGGTGTATTCATTCCGCCGATTCTGTTGAAAAATGTTTCTTAAACGGAAGCAAACGGAACGAAACAGGAATAAACACACCGGAATTTGTCCAATAGAAACTCTCGTTTGCAACTGTTGACTAATGATTACACCCTAGATCAGCTAGATGCAGGCAAGATTGTGCAAGGCGGTATTGAATGTGTCAATGTCTGTCACCTTGATTACTCAAATTTCTCTCGACCTGTGCACCTACGTTAGGTCAGGTTGTAGAAACCTCATGATGGGTATAGGAAACATTTTAGTGTCATATTGAAGCCTAAACCTATCTATGTTACATTGAGCTGGGTGAATGGAATATGAATGACAGTCATCCAATAACGGTAGCAGATAGTTCATTAAATGAATAATCTGCTTAAATTAAAGATAGTTGTTAGGTAGGGGAAATCAACAATGAAGGAAAATTATTCCTCAATATTGTTTTCCATTGCTGTGATACATTCCTTTGACCTGATTCAAATGTTATATGCTTGTATCAACCTGTAATGCGGTTCCTTCTATCAGAAAAAAAGACGTTTAACTTTTCAGAAAAACATATTGGTCAAGCACTTTATTTTAGGTGCATTTTCCACCCTGTTAGGTACATAATTCTAACAGGGTGGAACCACTGGCGTACTGGACACCCCCTCAGCCCCCGCAAGGCAGGGGGCCCATGCGCCTGTCATTGATGTCAATTTTTAATATATAAATCATTGACAGTAACCCTCCAAAAAGTTATTCATAAACCTTTTTAATTTCCATGTGTTCTAGGAAGCTAAGTGTCTGTTTCTTGTGCTTCAGGAATGTGACTGAAAAAGTGAAAAAATAAAAATAAACGAATTAAAAGTATAAGGGGATATCAGATATCAGTGAACAAATGCCGTGGTCAAGGCTACGATGGCGCCAGTGCAATGAGTGGAGCTTCCTCAGGTGTTCAAAAGCTCATTTCAGACCGAGCGCTTAATGCTTCTTAGCTAGTTCTTTATGAGTTTTAGTTTAGAAAACGATCGGTCCGCAGAAGCGACAGTTACAGGGATGGTAAAAACAGCTTGATTGCCGTAGCAACATCAGGAAAACTGGGCAGAAGGGAGTTGTGTTTCAAATACAGCAGTTCTGTAACAGCTTTAATTGAGCCTCTCATTCTCCTTAGTTGCCGGCAGCCAATAAATTGGCAGATGCAAACAGATCATCATCTTTAGCAGACAACAGTTTTTGAGGGCATGAACAAAAAAAGCTGTTTGCCATTTTGTTCATACTGGTGAACCGGCATTTGATTTGTGTGGTTGCAATATCAACAGTCCCTTATCTCTGGTATATCTTGACATGCATCATTCAATACTAAGTTTAAATTGTGTGCAGCGCAATGGACATACAGTATAATGTACAATGTCTCAGGAAAGACTGTCTACTACTTTTTTTATTTCATGTGTCATTTTTATAAAACGTTTGTAAATAGCAGCTAAATATGGTATATAGCTATAGATAGTACACTGCAAATTGAAACAATCCCTAGTAAGCTAGAGTTTTGAGGGCGGACTGGTTTTACACACAACTTTCTATCCAAGCTGGGAGAGAGTGTGAGGATGGCTCATGTCATGCAGGTTCAGGTAGCCTATAAAGGACAGGTGTATATATATTTTTTAAATGGTAGATGATTAGTATGCTGTTGCATTGAACATTTATTACTGAGAAAATGACAACCAAATAGGCCTACCAATAAACATTTATCAATTAGCTAAAGCAAAGCTAAGCACTTGCAACACAAAGCCTATCATCGATTCGATAGGCATGTAGCCGCATAGACATGCCGCAATTTCAGCACCATGGACAGCGAATTCCAACCTTGCGGGGGACCAGAGAAACTGTGTTACGCCAGAGGGTGGTACCTAACAGGGTGGACATTTGGAGCCTAAATTAGCCATAGCTCTGTGAGTGAACAAGATTGAGCTAACATAATGGTGAACGCTTGAACAGGATTTTAACTTCTCTATCAAACATATTTTAACATTTTGAAATGTTGTTAATTTTCTCTGTAATTTATCCTAACAAGGCAGAAATGTATGAGTGAATATCAACATGAAACATGGAAAAATAGATACAACTGAGTGTTTATATTTATTTAACTTTGCACCATTGTTTTTCCACCAAATAAATTATGACACTTCCTGAATGTGGTGTCATTGTAGGAAGGGGTTGATTTCTTACATGGAGAATTACAACAAACTAACAGGGTGGAAATTAGGCACTCACAGAAAATCTTAAATAAAATAATAATAAACACAATAATCATGAGAAGAAAATACGTTACTGATGAGAGAGAATTTAACTAGGACTATAAAACAATGAAGAAAGATTTTAAATATTGTATTACTTTATGGCTTATATTTCTTGTGGAAGTTGATGAATAACACCCAGGGACATGGCAAAACACCTACATCCACTAAAAAAGAAAAGTGTTCAAAATGCATAAAATTCCCTTTCAAGATCCATATTTAATTTGTTTTTAAGGTAAAGGACACCTGACCTTATATTTAAAGCCTTTTGGAATCAACATTTGGCACTAAATAAGAAGCAACATTTCCTGGGAACAGAAAAGGCACCGCACAGTAGGAATGACCCAGTTAATACGCCGCACACAGGAATTGACAGAACTTTCTGCTTTAAGAAATGTTTCAAGCAACACATTCAGTGCTAAATGCTGTTCCACAAGTGGTCAGTGCCAGCAGGGACATCAGTGAGGATACAGTTACGAAAGCCTGAGCTACACACGCTCTCATGAGAAAGATCATACAAAGATGAAGTGTCCTTGCTTTTGAAAACTGATCCTCTCTTCTTCTTTAGGTTTCCCTTATGTTTATAGTGGTTGGGATTGACAGGTCTTTGGCTCAGACCCTTGTGAAGAGGGCAGAGTCTGGGTAGAGAGAGGGGAGGGGAGGGGAGGGAACCTGATGCCAAAAAGGCAGACTCAAGCCCAATTGGTGGGCTAACACAGAAATCATTGCCTCAAATCATACACACCGACTTCTTCCAAAATAACTCCCTTTAGAGGCCCACAGTAAGAGGATCTTATTCTTCTGACATGGGCCATCCTCCCCAAGCCCTGGCTCATCTTTATTAAGTACTCATTAAAAGATCATATAAAGACAGTGTTTCATCTAATCATATGACAACACTGTAATGGACCCTATTCCTCCTCAAAACCCCACAGTGAAGAGAAAGGCAGAGTAAGGCAGTGAGTATGTATGAGCTGGGCTATTTCTACCATGTGGATTAGAGAAAGGATGGACAGGAGAGGCTGTAAATTATGAGCGATGACAGCAGGGTAGGTCAGGAGGAACTTTCTGGCCATAATGGATGAATTGAACATGGTGTCCGTTCTGTAGGAATATATGGAATTCTGGGGATAATACTGATCTGGTATCAGTTCAACGGAAGTCCCACTCACCCGGCCTAGGACACAAACACAACCAGAACAGGACCATAGGGGGGTGTAGGGTTGGGCATTGCCCACCCAAAATGTCATGTTACAGTGAGCAAGCTTGAAACTGCCCACCCAGACATATCATCCTAGAACCGGCCCTGACTGTAAATGATGAAATGTGGCACAATGGGAGGCATTGACACTTTGAAACGTACTAGCATGCCACCATCTTCACTATCTTTCTACCTTTCAGTGCCCTCATTTTCACATTTGCTGTGTTATTGAGTGTTGCGAGAGGATTTAGAGGACAGTATTTAGCCTTGAGTTTATTGAGTGTAAAGCCTTTGACTTCTTGAGATATCTAACAACCTACACAGAGTACAACAAACATTAGGAACACCTTTCTAATATTGAGTTTCACTTGCACCCACCCCTTTTGCCCTCGGAACAGCCTCAATTCGTCAGGTCATGGACTCTACAAAAGCGTTCCACAGGGATGTTAGCCCATGATGACTCCAATGCTTCTCACAGTTGTGTCAAGTTGGCTGGATGTCCTGTGGGTGGTGGACCATTCTTGATACACACAAGAACGTGTTGAGCATGAAAACCCCAGCAGTATTGCAGTTCTTGACAGAAACTGGTGTGCCTGGTACCTACTACTATACCCTGTTCAAGGGCACTTAAATATTTTGTCTTGCCCATTCACCCTCTGAATAGCACACATGCACAATCCATGTCTCAAGGCTTAAAAATCCTTCTTTAACCTGTCTCCTCCCCTTCATCTACACTGATTTAAGTGGATTTAACAAATGACATCAATAAGGGATCATAGCTTTTATCTGGATTCACCTGGCCAGTCTATGTCATGGAAAGAGCAAAGTTCTAAATGTTTTGTATACTCAGTGTATAGGTCTACTGTTGATGTGTCATTGGAGAGCATAAGGGCAATTCCACGATAATGGACTCATATTTTCACTTTGTATCAAAATGTATTCCAAACAAAAACCATTGATTGCAAAAGTTTAACAAACCATACAACTCTATGCACCATTAGAGTTGTCGTTAGCATTTCTAGCCTTATCTCCCAAGTGGCGCAGTGGTCTAAGGCTGTGCCACTAGAGATCCTGGTTCAAATCCAGGCTCTGGATTTATGATCTATATAAAAATATTGCTGCTTAGCTTAGAAGGAAATTAATATGAATTGATCGAAATGATCCGGTACAGAGAAATTCCTGGCCTTGTTGGGGTCAGCAGGGTTGGGTATACAGCTCCCCCACCGCCTCCTGCATCAACCTCCTTTTAGACTCGTCCCAAAGACAATGGATAACCCACAACACCCCCCTTTTATTTTGAACCATTCAACTAACTAACCCATCAAAGATAGCTCCCTAAATCCAACGTGCTGCTGACCTGCTGCTAGGGGAACAGATACAGTTCATATTATTCACACAGCTAAAATACTCTCTCCGCTATGCTAAGCCACAGCCATGTTTTTACTGTCTTCAGAGACCAATCCCAACTGCCTGTTGGACCCATAGCAGGGAAACTCTGACACACAGGATTCCTTGGGCAGAACAGAATGGGTTAAATTATGTCAGGTTGGGATTAACGCTGTGAACTTTTAACGGGGAAGCAAAGGGCATTGTGAAGTTCATGGGCTAAAGAGTTGGCAGTAAGCTGGGTGGGTGACAGCAAACAATTAAAGGTGGGAAAGGGAAGAAGGGGAGAGAGCCAAGGCTTCAAAGACCACAGGGGGTCAGGCTGAAGGGCAGGACACAGGGCTTGAATAAGAATGAATAAGAAATAGGGTGGATAGAACTCTACTGTACATAGATCACATACACTGAGTGTACAAAACTGTAGGAACAACTGCTCTTTCCATGACATAGACTGACCAGGTGAATCCAGGTGAACGCTATGATCCCTTATTGATGTCACTTGTTAAATCCACTTAAATCAGTGTAGATGAAGGGGAGGAGACAGGTTAAAGAAGGATTTTTAAGCCTTGAAACATGGATTGTGTATGTGTGCCATTCAGAGGGTGAATGGGCAAGAAAACATATTTAAGTACCTTTGAATGGGGTATGGTAGTAGGTGCCAGGCGCACTGGTTTGAGTGTGTCAAGAACTGCAGCAGCGCTGCTGGGATTTTCACTCCCAACAGTGTCTCTAATGTTTTGTACACTCAGTGTATAACTAGGCCTATATATAGAATCCATTCATCACATTTTAACATATTCAAAAACCACATAAGCTGTTGTGAAATATTATCTAGCTGTAAGCCGTTTCTAAACATAAACGTGAAATGCAACCGCTAATCAGATGAAATAAAGAGCTAATTTCCTTTCTTTAATGGAAGGTAGGTGCACGGTTGTAACCTCGCCAGCCACTGACTTGCAAATGCATCAATAAATCAAAAATAACTGAATGAAGGCAAACAGATGGAAAAGAAATGAGCCACTGCCGAATGCCAAATGAGCCAAAGAAAGGCCAGCTCCAAAACGTGTGTGGATCTGAGGGAGAGGGGGAGAGAGAGGGTGATATATGTCTGTGTGTGTGTGTGTGAGAGAGAGCAGGTGTTTTTGTAAGTGTATAGCTTATATGTGCTTGATGTATAGGCCTCCTGTACTGTACATGTTGGTGGCGTCAGAATGGAGATGCCAGTGAGGTTGAGAAGTCAGCCATGCCTTTTTCACCCTGGCACCCCTGTTGATGACACAAGCCAGGACAGCAGCCCACTGGCAGGGAGATGAAACTGGCTGGGCCGAGAAGGAACCGGAGAGGAGAGCAGCCAGCTGCTAGGATCAGATATAACTTTATTACACCGTAAGCAGCCTTTAGAGCACGGACCAGGTACACGCTCTTCCTCACATCAAGGAGGCCAGCTACACTTTTTCTCACGTCAAGGAAACCTGTATGAACCTACAATGAACCTGAGGGGAGTGGATTGATATTAAACTATTCTTTGCCAAATTACATCCCTTATTCAAAGGGAAAAAATGACATTAAAAGGAGACAGGAGATAACAGGGCGATCCAATGAAAAGAGAGTAATCTGTTGTGATAAAGTGTCATAGAAACCTGGTATTGGAGATACAGGAAATACAGTGCCTACAGAAAGTATTTTTTCCACATTTTGTTACATTACAGCTTTATTCTAAAATGGATTAAAAAAAATAAAAAATCCTCAGCAATCTACACACAATACCCCATAATGACAAAGCAAAAATAAAAAACTGAAATTACTTATTTACATAAGTATTCAGACCCTCATTATGGGGTACTGTGTCTAGATTGATGAGGGAAATGTTTTATTTAATCAATTTTAGAATAAGGTTGTAACGTAACAAAATGTGGAAAAAGGGAAGGGGTCTGAATACTTTCCGAATGCACTGTATATGGCGGACTTTGAGTGGTTCTGGACCGGTTCCGACTGACATTTTAGTGTACAAAGTGCTCTGTGAACACCGTAGGGTCCTGTGTCTTATAGTGCCAGAAAGACCCATCTGTCATCAAACTGATTCCTCTCAGAACGACACAGAGGGATAACTATGGCCCTGTGAATAATTTGCTATTAATAAGAAACAATTCTCTCTCACACACTCTCTCGCTCTTACTCATAGGAGTAACTGGGTGGAAAGGAGAAGTAAGGGCATTTATATTGCAAAGCCTGACGTGGATAGCTTGCTAATCAGGTGCATCTGAGAACGGAGTTCCAAGTGAAATGAGTTCACAGAAGCCTCCTTAAAAGGAAAACTGTGGCAAGTGCTTTTGAAAATCCTACATCTTGAAAACTTGACATGCAAAACATTTTGGGGGCGTATTAACAGTGGACTAATGAAAAAATACCAAAATATAGTTTTGAGTGGATATTTCCTATAATGCATGGGCCTGTAAAGATACCGGATAAGATTATATACATTTCCATTCATATCCATTATACTTGAGCATGCTAGAGGGAGATTCTGTATATAGTCCGAAGTGTATCTCCTAATAAATTATACTGCTGTTGTGCAACATCTTGGGTTCCAACAGGAAGTTAATTAAGTAGCAGATGTTACTGTAAATATTGCCAAGAAGGCATAATAGCTGACACCATACTGTATATATACTTTAAATCAAATCAAATTTTATTTGCCACATGCGCCGAATACAACAGGTGTAGAAAAGTGTTAAGTGAAAAATAGATCAGAAAAAATAAGAACAGAAAATAATTAAAGAGCAGCAGTAAAATAAAATAAACAGTAGGGAGGCTATATACAGGGGGTACCGGTACAAAGTCAATGTGCAGGGGCACCGGTTAGTCGAGGTAATTGAGGTAATATGTACATTACCATTCAAAAGTTTGGGGTCACTTACAGTGGGGGAAAAAAGTATTTAGTCAGCCACCAATTGTGCAAGTTCTCCCACTTAAAAAGATGAGAGAGGCCTGTAATTTTCATCATAGGTACACGTCAACTATGACAGACAAAATGAGAAAAAAAATTCCAGAAAATCACATTGTAGGATTTTTAATGAATTTATTTGCAAATTATGGTGGAAAATAAGTATTTGGTCAATAACAAAAGTTTCTCAATACTTTGTTATATACCCTTTGTTGGCAATGACACAGGTCAAACGTTTTCTGTAAGTCTTCTCAAGGTTTTCACACACTGTTGCTGGTATTTTGGCCCATTCCTCCATGCAGATCTCCTCTAGAGCAGTGATGTTTTGGGGCTGTCGCTGGGCAACACGGACTTTCAACTCCCTCCAAAGATTTTCTATGGGGTTGAGATCTATTTTAGGCCACTCCAGGACCTTGAAATGCTTCTTACGAAGCCACTCCTTCGTTGCCAGGGCGGTGTGTTTGGGATCATTGTCATGCTGAAAGACCCAGCCACGTTTCATCTTCAATGCCCTTGCTGATGGAAGGAGATTTTCACGCAAAATCTCACAATACATGGCCCCATTCATTCTTTCCTTTACACGGATCAGTCGTCCTGGTCCCTTTGCAGAAAAACATCCCCAAAGCATGATGTTTCCACCCCCATGCTTCACAGTAGATATGGTGTTCTTTGGATGCA